GCACTCCAAGTATGCAGAGTTGTGCACACCAGGTACGCAGTGCTCCCATGTATATTATCCACTCTTCCCTCAGGTGGTACCGTTCATCTGCTGCAACCAATACCACAATACCACTGAAGCACGACGTATGACGACCGGTTGCATTCATTCTTCCTGCTCCCCCTGCCTATTTGGCAACCCTTGGTGAGGAGGTCTTCCCCTTATGCTTCTTGACTCCATGTCCCACACTTATGCCACCAGACATACTCCACACCCCACCTCCCGCCACCCATGTGCTTGTAGTGATCCGCGTACACAGCTACAAGCACATGAGTGAGTGTGGAGTTAGGTGATGCCATGTTGTGCCGCACCGTTCGAGGTGGCCGCACAGGTGAGTACAACACCAGAATCCTTGACTTGATGATTGCCTTGACCAACCAGCAAATTGCAGGTGAGATGCTGCTTGCTTGGCTTGTCCACCTCATTTCCCACATCATCATTTTCCACGCCTTCCGAAATGGAAACACCAGTCACAAATACGCCATCAGCTGTACCTCCGCTTCCTTCAACTGCACTGACTTCATCAGCTACATCAGCTCCAGGTAAGTCTTGTTTTGCATATTCTGCTCCTTCGCCTTCATGTCCTTCAATGGTCGAGAATGCAGGAACCGAATCCACTACGGACCTGTGGCCTCCTCCCCCTGAAGTCCACACCACACAGTGGGGTGAGACTTCATCCGTATCAACATCATGTGCCAGATTCCGCACGATGCAGGCTTTGTGCGCCAGGCGGTATGTGACAGAGGCATGTGCAGACTTGCCACTCGACTGCATCCCAGGTGTGCGGAAATCCGTGCTCTCATGTGCGTCAATGTGCACACCAGGTGTGCGGAAAAGGGTAACCCCCTCACGATCAACCTGATGCGATGACGCGTCATAACGGGAATGTCCAGGATCATGGGCGGATGTAAGTGCATGCGCATATTGCACCACGAGCACTCCATCCACGTTCTTAGCAAATCCAATCCGCACGTACTCCTCTCCATCTTTCATGGTGACCTCCGTGTCTCCATTAGCAATTGTATTGATGTGCGCTCCCTTTTTCAGCAGCTGACAATAGGAGAGCAGGTTACTCTTCAAGCCAGGTACATAGAGGACGTCAGTGTACCGAACTGTTGTCCCATCAGGTGCCGTTGCTCTGATCGTTCCTGTCATCTTGCTGCTCAGCTCGCTCCCATTAGCAAGCTCCACATAAACAGGTTCGTCCAGCTCCCTTAACTCTTCAAACCAGCTCTTGTCCGAAGTCATGTGCTGGCTGCATCCACTATCCAGCATCCAAGATGACGCTTTAGCTGGCGGTAAGGTAGCTTGTGACGATCCCATCATTGCAATGCACGTAACAGTACGTTGTTTGTCTTCCCCGGCTGCCCCTTGCTGTTTTGATGCATTGTTGTCACGTTTGGGGCTGCAACTCCTTCGTGGGGAGGACGAACGGCTGTCGCTGGTGTGCAGTTTTGCCTTTCCGCGGGTATGCGGTTCCCACCCTGGTGGTATCCACCCAGGGGGTGCCTTGGTACACTTGAAGAAGGGGTGGCCAGGCTCCTTGCAGTACCAACACACGAGAGATGAGCGACTTGCATCTCCATCCTTGCCATGCGTTTTCTCCCCAATTGACCCCTCCTTCCCGTTATTGCCCTTTGCAGTTGGAGAAGGTGAGCAGTCTCCACGTGCTTGTCCAACCATGCGAGGTGGACGCCGGTCACGGTTATCCTTTGTGATGAGATCGTGATATCTCTGCTCCCGAATCATCATCCGCTGCAAAGTGAAGCTGTCCGTCACGTTGTGCAGCATTGCCGAGTGCCTCATCTCCTCCCAATGCACTGGTAGTCCGGTGAGCAGATTTAAGGTGAAGGTATCTTCATCCACCATCTTCCCCGCGAGTGCTAACTTGTCCCGGATTGCTGTTGCGCGGTTGACGTACTCCTCCACCCTTTCGGTGTTCCCCATTTTCAGGTTGTCCAACTGTTTCAAGAGAGAGACCTTCGCCACCGAATCTTTGGCCTGGTAAGTGTCCATCAAATACTCCCATGCTTCATAAGCCGGGCTGTAGGATTCCTGGAACATGTCTAGCTGTAGTTGAATCGTGGCGCTCACGCTGTGCAATAGGACCCAAAAGGCGAGTGCCGCACGCTGGGAGTAATCCGCCTGTAGCATTTCCAGCCGCCCCATAGCGTCGTCAATGTCACCATCTCCCATGGTAACCGGATACTGCAGGGTCACAAAGAACTCCCACAGATTCGTGACGCGGGCGTTCATACGAAACCGTAGTGCCCATTCGCGGAAATTTGAGCCGTCAAACGGAGTGGTGGTGAATGCCTTGTCCACCGTTGCTCCCACCATTTTGCGTGACAGTCGTTCCTTGTCTTCGTCCGTATATTCACGTGGTGCGGGGTCGAAGAGAGTAGGCATGGTTGACGGTCGAGGTAGCTGTACCGTGCGCCGCATATCTCCATTCTGTCCACCAAGTTGACGTTCCAGCACTTCCACTTTATCCCGTCGCATGACACCATTTGACTGCATTCCGTATCCCATCCGCCCCATGCTGTCCACAGAGTGTGCGCTGATTGGTGGACGATGTGCACGTGGAGGGATGATGTTGTCGCCATGAAGGTGAGACCTGGGCATGGGAAGAACTCCAATGGGATGGGAGTTGGTCGCAAGTCGTCGTAGTGGGGGAGCACCAATAGTGTAGGAGGCGAATCCCACACCTTCCACGCCCACTTCACCACTTCTGTCACCCTGATGCCCAATCTGTCCACTTCTCATCCCACCAAACACTGCACTCCGATACTCATCATTCCTCCTCCGTGCTTCCCTTTGCATGGATGATTGAGGTGCGGAATTGGCGATCTCCTCTCCTTGGACGGATGCATCCCTCCATTGGGATGACTCTCCTCCTTGAGGTATGCCCATTTCCCCTTCACCATCAATTCCTGCATGAACATTTGCACGAGTTTGGTTAGTACGTGGAGTGCTTGAATGAGATTGTTCATGGGTGGACGGATTGCTGAACTCATGAGAGAGTTTTGCTCTTGGCTGGATTGTCATTCCAAACTTGTCCCTTAACGAAGCTTGGAGAGTTGGTGGTGCCCTTGCAATCATGCTTTCCAGGTGCTCATGCTGAGCCATGATGGCTTCTTCAAAAGCCGCATATCCAGGATCCACTTCGCCATCAAAGTGCGCCATGACCTTGACAAAACCGTCCACCAAGTGTGCGGTAAACGCGCAGCTGTAACCAACAGCGAACACCAGGTGTACGAAAGCGTAGACCGGGTGTGCGGTACTCCGACTGTATGCAGGTACCTATCCAAACTGTATGCCAGTAAATTCCTGAACCAGTTTTGGCAGCATGCCCCCTAGAGTAGCTCTGATACCATGCTAGAAAGGCATAGTGCCAGCGTAGCGGAAACGTGTTTGTAGAAAAGAACAAGATAGAAATCTTGCATTGATCATTGAAAAGTAAAATGATGACACAATGTGTACTCAATGATGTGACACAGCAGGGTATATATGCATCCAGCTACCCCTCCAGAATGACCCATTCACACCAATAATGGTGTACCAATAATTGTACCCTCTACCCTCCAATAATGCTGACCTCCAATAATTCTGGCCCCTACAATAATTGTAGGACCTGGAAGCTTATAAAGAGGACTACACTAAAACCAAACAGCACACTGGTATACAGTATTCGTTATACTGTATTCGGATTTCCAACAACAATGACAATACAACAATAAAACAAAATAAGAAGAATAACGTCAATCAGAAAATACAGTAACTACCATAATATACGGTATTTCACAATGGTTTAGGGCCATAACTCTCCCATATGCTCTACAACAAAACTGCAAGTGTGATCTACTGCAGGATTATTTACAATGGTCCCATTACCCAATAAGCCTGCAAAGAAAGAGAATGAGCTAGTGAACCGAGTAAAGCTTACCAGCACTGCTCCCTTGCTTAGGAGCGCAAAGTCTGCCAACGTTGCCAGATAGTTCCCAAAACCCTTCGACAGATGCATGGGATGGGAGGTGAAACCGAAAAGTACACCTCGCCAAAAGGCCGTAAAAACTCCACCACTTTAGATCGAACAGTGTCCGTATCTGTTGCCACAAATATCCTCAGGTGGCCAAGACGAGTGGCTGAGGGGCCGCCAGGTGGCACAACGGAGGCCACAAGAAGAGAATCATCAACTGTCCATTCATCCTGCAGCCTCCTCCGCTGCTGAAGCCTCCTTCTTTTCTCCAGCTTACTCCCTGCTTTACCCGAGGGAAGAGAGGGACGGCGTTGCAAGTTCTCAAGTCAGGGATGGGGTGGAGGGGAGATGGGGGAGCAGCAGTGGAGGGAGCAAGGAGGGATGCTGCGGCTGATGGTGAATGAGGTGATGATAAAATAACTGTTGAGACGTCTCAAAAGTCGTCTACTTACACACGGAATGAGGTGATGATAAAATACCAACTGATTCTGCATTTGCTGTACCTTTTAGTGTCTTTGTGGCAGTGTTGACGGTAGAGTGAGAGGCCACGACAGCAGATGCTCCAAGATTACCGTCACTAGCATTGGCAGTGCGACCAGCAGCAGCGGCTGTAGCATTGGCAGTGCGACCAGCAGCAGCGGCTGTAGCATTGGCAGTGCGACCAGCAGCAACGGCTGTAGCATTGGCAGTGCGACCAGCAGCAGCGGCTGTAGCATTGGCAGTGCGACCAGCAGCAGCGGCTGTAGCATTGGCAGTGCGACCAGCAGCAGCGGCTGTAGCATTGGCAGGCAAACGAGCAGCGTCTGTTGCACTAGTGAAACCCCCCGCAGCGGCCTTCTTGATGCGCAGGAACTGCATCAGTCGGGCGATGCAGCGCCACTGGGTGGGCTTCATGAGCTCCTGCACACGCAGCATCTCCTCTTGCTGCGCCCTCTCCCGGCAACTCATGTCTTCCCTGTTCCTGCAGTAATCTCCCTCCACATTACTGCTTTGGGGAGAGGGGCGTAAGATAGGAAGAGATGAAGTGAGGATCACGGTTGATGGAGAGAGGCTCACAACAAAACAAATCAAAGCACACAAACAGGAACCTTGATCTGAGAACATACTACACTAGATGGGGAAAAAGAAAAAGAAAAGAAAGAAAGAAAGAAAGAAAGAAAGAAAGAAAGAAAGAAAAAAAACACTCACATTGACAGCCCACGGATGTGAATTGAAACGTCAAACTGCACCTGCAGTCCCTCCCCTTTCCTAATGACTTTTGAGTCGACTCAAAAGTCACCTGGAAACGTCAAACTGCACCTGCAGTCCCTCCCCTTTCCTAACCATCTGCGGCTCCACCGTCCCTTCTTGCACCTCCCTCTCCTCTGTCTTCGACCCTATCCCTGGTAGCACCAGCGGCGGCACCACCCTGAGATCTCTATCCACCACCTCTTCCACCCCTGGCTTGGGACCCTTGCCGAGGAGCAGAGAGAGCACTTTGGAGCGAATGCACCAGATGGTGTGGCAGTTGAAGGCGCTGTGCACGCACTGGTTCATCTGAGGGTCCGTGCGCCACGTCTTCTCGAAGAAGTTACCTACCAGGGACAGGGGGGATAAGTGGGAGAAGAAAAATCAATCACACTTGTGACTGGGTGCACCAGATGGTGCGGCAGCTGAAGGCGCTATGCACACACTGGTTCATCTGTGGGTCCGTGCGCCACGTTTTCTCGAAGAAGTTACCTAAGAGATATGAACAGGATGTGAGAATAAAAGGTCACGGAGGAGGGAGAAAACGGATGAGAGTGCGCTGGTTCACCTGGAGGTCTGTGTCTTTTCTAATTGACTTTTGAGTCGACTCAAAAGTCACCTCGTTACAATGGCACACGACACTTTTGAGTCGACTTAACATTCAAACGGATGAGAGTGCACTGGTTCATCTGGGGGTCTGTGCCTTTTCAAAGAAATTACCTACCAGGGATGCAAATGAGCATGGAAGGGCAGAGAGGAGGCACGTTTTTCCAAAAATCATTACTTAGCAGGAATGGAAACGAACAGAGAAGGGCAGAGAGGAGGCAAATTTTCAGAGAAATTACCCTATTAAATATGAAGGGTATTCGAGCACAAAGGGACAGAGGGGATAAGTGGAAGGAGAAGGAGAACCCATTGCACTTGTGACTGGTTGGTGGCAAGAGAGCGAGTGGCATACCCGTGTAAACGGCCACGACATTTGGGCTGTAGTCCAAGCCATGCATCTCGAGTGTAATCGCATTCATGAGCTTTGCGTGCTTGCGGATGTCCCCTTTATAGTGCAACTCGTCTATGCCACAGTAGAATGCGTTACACAAACGCTCCAAGACCTGGAAAAGGTGAAGAAGAGAGGAAGAGAGGAAGAGGTCGCAAGGGACGGAATTGTGGAACGGGGTTCCAACACAGACGCTTCATCAGGATGCAGCATGCAGGGATGGAGTTCTTTAAAGAATGATGGGTTACACAGACGCTGTAGTCCCTTCTTTGCCACTCTCCTTACATCCAAAACCCCACAACCTGAGACGCCCTCACCTGCTTGTGGTTGCCGCCCTTCCACCTCAACAGCCTCCTTCCCGACAGCAGCGCGAAGATGAAGGCCGAGGTGTACGCCCTCAGGGAGTTCCCCAGCTTAACCTCCCAAAACCCAGAATCCTTAACTCGCTCTCACCTGCTTGTGGTTGCCGCCCTTCCACCTCAACAGCCGCCTTCCTGACAGCAGCGCGAAGATGAATGCCGAAGTGTACGCCCTGAGCGAGTTCCCCAGCCCAAACCGCGGCATCCAGATCAGCCAGCGCTCCTTCAGCATGAAATCTTCGAGGTCTTGAGGGATGGACTCGTTATTCTCCACCTTGCGCTGCAACTCGCTCAGAAGCTTCAGTTCTGAGACGCCAGCGTCTGACTTCCAAATGGGGGCGTTGACGTAGGCTGATTTAGGGAGGATGCCTTGACACGAGGGGGTGTTCTGATGTGAGGAAGGAACGGACAAGGCAGGGAGGGAGAGCAAACGAGGAGGCCAAATGAGAGGCTCAATGAGATGCCAAAGAAACCACCATGATGCCAAAAGGAAATATATTTCGCTAAGCATTGCAAACCACCATGATGCCAAAAGGAAATATATTTCGCTAAGCATTGCAAACCACCATGATGCCAAAAGGAAATATATTTCGCTAAGCATTGCAAACCACCATGATGCCAAAAGGAAATATATTTCGCTAAGCATTGCAAACCACCATGATGCCAAAAGGAAATATATTTCGCTAAGCATTGTAAACCACCATGATGCCAAAAGGAAATATATTTCGCTAAGCATTGCAAACCACCATGATGCCAAAAGGAAATATATTTCGCTAAGCATTGCAAACCACCATGATGCCAAAAGGAAATATATTTCGCTAAGCATTGCAAACCACCATGATGCCAAAAGGAAATATATTTCGCTAAGCATTGCAAACCACCATGATGCCAAAAGGAAATATATTTCGCTAAGCATTGCAAACCACCATGATGCCAAACCGCCAAGAACGAACAATCCTGCCACGTGATGAACCATGCCCTGCCAGCTGTCATCCACTCGACCCACCAGCCACGGCCAAGCTGCCACCAGCTATCAACAGCCGCAGTGGTGATTCACTTAACCTTCATTGCTAACAGGTTACCGCACCACTACCCAGGCTAAGCACTTCTCTTAGCTAAGCGATTCACGCTTACCCAGACGTCATACCGGACGAGGCCCCGCATAAACATGTCATGCCAGGCCACCTAGCGCCCAATCAGGTTCTGACACCGGACTGAGCGACGCCCTGCCCCGCATAAACACGCAACGACAGCTGGCGCTCAGCCAAGCCACGGGCGACTGCCACAGCGCCACGTACCGATCTTTCCTCATTCGCTGACTGCTCACTTTGACGTCGTACCGGGCATTCCCCCGCATGAACATGCCATGCCGTGCCAGTTGGCGCCCAGTCGGGGCTTGACGCTTGGTTTGGTACCGTGCATTGCCCTGCCCCCGCATGAACATGCCACGCCAGGCCAGCTATCGCCCAATCGGGGTTTGACATCGTACCGGGCGTCGCCCTGCCCCGCATAAACATGCCACGTCAGCTAGCTAGCGCCCATCCAAGCCACGGTCCACTGGCACAGCGCCATTAACTGATCTTTCCTCGCTCACCTTGACGTCGTACCGGCCGCTCCCTCGCATGAACATGCCGCGCCAGCTGCTGCCAAGCCTCTCCACGGGCAAGTGCCACTGGTAGTAGCTGTCTGGAAATGCCAACATGTCCTCCTGCTTCCCCACCTCACCTTGATGTTGCATCGTGTGTTCCCCCGCATGAACATGCCGCTCCAACTGCCGCTAAGCCTCTGCACGGGCAAGTGCCATTGGTAGTAGCTGTTCTGGATCCGAGACAGCATCTCCTCCTTTTCCACCTCACCTTGATGTCGTATTGTGTGTTCCCCCGCATGAACATGCCGCGCCAGCTTTTGCCCAGCCTCTGCACGGGCCACTGCCATTGGTAGTAGCTGTCCGGAAACGCCAACATGTCCTCCTGCTTCCCCACCTCGTTCACCCACCGAAACGCTGACGTGGATTCCTCCCAAGGCCCACCCACCCATCCATCCGCCAGCCTCCTTCCCCTTCTCCCTCTCCTACTACTTGGCTTTTCAATCGTTGTTCTCTCGGTGTTTTCCGGCAGCCCTGCCATCCATCTGTCCACCAGCCTTTGTCGTCCCCTCGCCCTCCCGCCTCGACTGACTGGCTTGGGGAACCCACTTGCTCCTCCCCTCGCTTCCATCACTCCGACTCTCACATCCCTCACACCGCTCCTCTCCCCCTCTTTCCGCCTTTTACCCCTTAACCCCGTGCTCTTCCTCCCGTTTCGGCCCTTAATATCCCCCTGCCGTACAGGTTGACCTTTGCTTTTTCCCTCCCACGCATAAATCTCCCTCAAGACAGACTCAACAATATCTCCTTTTTCCCCCTCCTGATCTAGTATCCCCCCTTCCTCCTCTCCTTCCCATTCGCCCTCTCCCTCCCCCTCTTCCCCATCCGTCTCCTCGTTACTGGCGCCATCACCACGTATCTCAAATTCCTCCATTTCCTCCTCCCTCTCCATCCCCTCACCCTGCTCACCAGCCTCACCAAGGCCACTACTAACAGTACGAGCCTTCCAACCATCCCCATTCCGCTCATTGCTGCCGCCCATCTGCGCCAATTCAGCTGGTTCATCTCCGCCGGGTTTGACTCCGCCGTTCATGTCTCCAGATTTCTCCTCCCTACGGGCCTTCACACCATCCCCATTCCGCTCATTGCTGCCTCCCATAAGAACCAGCTCAGCTGGTTCATCTCCTCCGAGTTGATTTCCGCCGTCCATCTCTCTAGATCCCTCCTCCCTGCTCTCTTGATCCGTTTCCGATTCTCCATTTCCGAATCCCCTCCGCTCCTCGAAACCGGCCTTCGTTTTAGTCATATCGTTCCACTCGCATCCCTCCCATTCCTCGCACGGCAGAATCAGCTCCAAAAGCGGGTCGCGAGTAGCCGGCGGCGGCCTCCTCCCACCACGAGTTAACGGCCGGTAACTACCACCTGACGGCCGGTATGCTTGAGCCGGGCTCTTACTTCGGCTCAGCTGATGAACAGCATTGCGGGTTTTCGTCGGTGTCCCGTTACTGTCCGGCAGCCTACTGTAGTATCCGTTGAACGGAGCTTCGATCCCATGTTCTGATGATGGACGAGATCCGTCAGCTGATGAAACGTAGTATTTCCTGCTCGAGGTCGAAGGGGAGTGTAAGGACGCAGTGACCGACGATAGCAGCGTGCCCAATAATAATAATAAGATTAGCAGCAAATGTGGTTGATTAAGAGTGATTCCTCTAATGCGATTGAGAGTGGTTCTTGGAATGCGAGCAGAGGCTGCAGCCATTATAGATGATCATATAAACCCAAGAAGATTTAAAGTGCTATTATTGGAATACTGACTGGTGAAGGTGCGGCTACTAACCAGTTGCTGCGATTTTGCCTACAAGAGTTTAGGCAGCAGCCTGCTGGCACTTGTGAGAAGAGCGACTTCTTTCCAAGCAGCACGGCAGCAATCGTCAGAAGTGGCAGGCCTGGGGTACTGCTGATTCATGAACCTTCTATGAGAAAAAGGAAGAATTTCGACCGTCGCCAAATAACCTATCAGGAAACAGCGACGAGTTTCGAGAGCCATTAGACCCTATCAGAGAACAGCAAGCACCGAGTTTTGACCCGTTTCAAAACACAGACCAATCAGAAAGCGGCAATCTCCTAACAAGGATGCTTGTGCACACACAACTCACTCCGCTTGTGGTGCTGGTTTGCTCAGGTGCTGCGGTCAGTGCTGCCCGGCGCTGGGCACGCTGCTGGAGCACTAACAAATAAAACACTGTACACTTCAGGTGATTAGTCGGCCCGTCAAAACAAATTGACGGCCTGTCAGCTGCCGGGAGAATCTGCATGATGTTTCGGGTCTGACCGCCGCGGGGACAGCCTGCAGATGTCGGTTGCCGTCGCTTTCTTGGTCCTAGACGCCTGGGGGAAAACTGACGTTGGGCGGCTTATACCCTTCAGGTGAAGTGAGGAATTCGATTTTTTAAACCGCCTTGGCCCAGATGCCATATCAGATGACTGGTAACTTGTTCCGTTGGCCTCAAATAAAAAATATCGGACCAAGAAAACCCGAACCAGCCACCGGTTCGGAGGCATGGGCTGGGCTTGCCGAGCGAAATATATTCGGACCAGACGAAGGCCACCCACCTATGCGGCATGCCCGAAATGCCGCCAGCGTATGGCGGCAGGTTCGGAGTCACACAGAGGGCGTGGAAACTTTTCCTCGAAGTAGTGACGATTGAAGCCAATTCGTTTTGTAGACGTTCTATTCTTCTAAGGTCGGTAAGTTGTATTGTAACGTGCCTACTAGGAAGTGCCCAAATGAAAAGAAAGCAACCTCTACTTATAGAATACATAAATCAATATAGATGTTCCAATCTTTTACGGCCATAACTCTCCCATATGCTCCACATCAAAGCGGCAAGTGTGCCTTAAAGTAGGATCAGCAATGACTGTCCCATTACCCAACATGCCTGCAAAAATAGCAAACGTGCTAATGTATCGAGTGAAGCTCAGCAACACTGCTCCCTTGCTTAGAAGTGCAAAATCCGCCAACGTCGCTAAATAGTCCCCACCAGATTTTGACAAGTGAACAGCAGGTGATACTGAGAAATACACCTCGCCAAAAGGTCGTAAATTTTCCACCACTTGTGTTACTGTATCTGTAGACACAAATATCCGCAGGTGGCCTAGATGAGCGGCTGAGGGCTCGCCAGGTGGCATGATGGAGGCCACAAGAAGCGAATCGTCAACCGTCCATTCATCCTGCAGCCTCACCCGTTGCTGAAGCTTCCTCCTCCTTTCTTTCTTAGTCCCTACTTGAGCACTTTCCTGTGGATGCTCTGAAAGCCGTGTGTGTTCATTTGAAGCTGCATAAAGGGTGGATTTATGCGGTCGGGTTAGGAAGGGAAGGCAAGGGGGGACGACAGAGGAATATGAAGGTTGTGAACATAGGGATGGGGTGGAGTGCAGAGCCTGGGGAGATGGAGGGGCGGCATTAAGATTTTCTTTACTCATAGTGGAAGGGCAGCAGTACCAAGAGATAACACTTCACCGTTGGTGGCAGCATGAGAGGCTCAACAGGGTTGAGCAGTCTAAAACTCGTGCAAAAACAAAAAAAAAAAGAGGTTCTGAATATAAGAATGGGGTGGAGTGGAGAGCCAGGGGAGATGGAGGGGCAGCACTGGGGTTGCAAGGAGGGATGCAAAGGCTGATGGTGAAATGGCCGATGCTGAAATGGTCGAACGTAAGATGGATGATAAATTGTGGCGAGTCACTGCGCTTGTTGCTTGTTGACTTTTTTGTTTGCTTATTGTGTTGTTTTGTTTGCTTTGCTCTTTGCTTGTTGCCTTTGCAGTACCTTTGGTTGACTTGGTGGCTGAGTTGGCGGTAGCAAGAGGGGCTTTACCGTTGATTACCCCAACGGTATTGCCTGTAGCATTGGCCGAACCATCAGCAGCAGCTGTAGTATTAGTGAAACCACCCGCAGCGGCTGTGGCATTAGGAGATCGGCCAGGAGCGGCTGTGGCATTACTGAAACCTCCAACAGCGGCCTTCTTGATCCTTAGGAACTGCATCAGTCTGACAATGCAGCGCCACTGCCTTGGCTTCATGTATGCATGCGCCCGCACTTGCTCTCCTCTCTGCGCTTTCTCCCGGCATTTCTTGTCCTTTTTTATACAGTAATCGCCCTCCACGTTGCTGGAAAGGGGGGGGGGGGGGAGTTGGGGAACAGGGGATGGGCGGGGAAAAGGGTGCGGAGGGGGGGGCAGGAAGGGAAGAGTATGGGGATGGAGGGTGGTGGCAGGGGGCCAAGGGTGCAGGGGGTAGGGACCAGGGTGAACAGAAGGGGTGGTGTGGGGGGGAGAGTGGGGTGGGGAGGAACTGCATCAGTCTGACAATGCAGCGCCAGTGCCGTGGCTTCATGTATGCATGCGCCCGGACTAGGAGTACTTAAATCCCCACAATAGCAGGTCCACGAATGTGAAGCGCCACGTCAAATTGCAGCCACAGCCCATCATGCCCTAAAACCCCCTGAAAAATACCCCCTTCGTCTTGAACTCACATGGCATGTCCACGGATGTGCAGCGCCACGTCAAACTGCAGCCTTAATCCCTCCCCTTTCTGAACCATCCGTGGCTCCACCTTCCCTTCTGTCACCTCCCCCTCCTTCCTCCCCACCTCTTCTCCTCGGAGCACGAGCGGCGGCACCACCCTCAGGTCTCTGTCCACCACGTCTTGCATTCCCGGCTTGGGGCCGTTGCCGAGGAGCAGAGAGAGCACTTTGGAGCGGATGCACCAGAGGGAGCGGCAGGAGAAGGCGTCGTGCACGCACTGGTTGACCTGGGGGTCGCCACGCCACAATCTGTCAAAGAACGCTCCTGGTGGGAATGGATGGGGTAGGGGGAAGAGGAGGGAGTGCAAGGAGAGAGCACAGCGGATGCACCAGAGGGAGCGGCAGGAGAAGGCGTCATGCACGCACTGGTTGACCTGCGGGTCGCCACGCCACAATCTGTCAAAGAATTTGCCTGAGAATGATGGGTGGGATGCAAACGCAAAAGGGCAGGGAGGATGGACGAGAAGCAGGAGGAGCAGCGAGCGCACTTGCGATTGGTTGCGAGAGTGGGAGTGGCAACCAAAGGTTGGTGTTATGTATGTATTAGCATGCATTATTTGGAATAGATATGCATTGGCATATATCAGTATGCTTCGGTATGCTTCGGAATGCATGAGTTGCAGCAGCATCTATATGCGGGCGGGAGTCTTTGGGCCGATTACGGGTCTACTAAATAAAATGACTGGCAGGCAAAGGTAATATGATATGATGTCCGCATTGGTGTGTAGAATCGCGAAAACAAAACCCCGCTGATAATTTAGCAAACAGAAGGTACAACGATATGGAGTTTGCTTAATCAATGGGTTGCTGGGCTAGTAAATTTGGGAAGGGGAACTGATGTAGCAGTTATCACCCGCATGCATTTGCTTGTATGAATGAGTTGAATAGCACACCTGAATAAACAGCCACAACATTTGGGCTGTAGTCAAAGCCGTGAATCTCGAGCTTTTTTGCATCCATGAGCTTTGCATGCCTGCTGATATCCCCTTTGTATTGCAACTTGTCTACCCCACAGTAGAATGCGTTGCACAGACGGTCCAAGACCTGGGAAATGTGAGGATGGGGTGCAGGGGTGGCACGAGGTGGAACTGTGGGAAAATGTGGTGCATAGAGGGATGACAATGTGTTTTGAGTCGACTCAAAACAATGCCTGGGAAATGTGAGGATGGGAGAAAGGGGTTGCACAAGGTGGAAGTGCGGGAAAATGTGGTGCATAGAGGGATGACGACTTGATGATGTGCAACTCTTTTTCTGAGACATCTCAAAATTCTGCTCATAGTGTGCAAGTATGAATCGAGGCGCTTCAATGCTCAACTGGAGTGCAACCAGGTTTCTACTTCTGGGAAAACAGAAGGCAACTATTCTAAAATGATGTGGCTTCAGAAAAAGGAAGCGGTTTCTGAGATACACACTTTTCTTTATATCGGAAGGGCCTAAAGCTCGTTACATAAAATGCGGTTTTGAATATATTTATTTTTGGCCTTTATTTTCTACGAAGCTGGTAGACAAGAGCAATGGGTCGCCCCGACCCGACCCGACCCTACCCCACCCCACCCGGCCCGACCCGACCCAACCCGACCTGACCCAACCCGACCCCACCCACACACCCCACACGACCCAACCCGACCCCACCTGGCCCGACTCTACCCGACCCGACCCGACCCGACCCGACCCCACCCGACCCGACCCGACCCAACCTGATTCGACCCGACTCGACATGAACCAACCCGACTAGACCAGACTCAACCCAACCCGATGGGGTAGCTGATGGGTGATGCAGTGTTTTCTAGGGAAGGGATTGGCTGATGAGAAACGATGTGTTTTTTGGGAAAGGGGGTGGCTGATGGGAATTGAGGTGGCTTCTAGGAAAGGGGGTGGCTGATGGGAATTGAGGTGGTTTCTAGGAAAGGGGGTGGCTGATGGGAATTGAGGTGGTTTCTAGGAAAGGGGGTGGGTGGTTGGTGGGAGATGAGATGGTTTCTAGGAAAGGGGATGGCTGATAGGGAAATGATGGTTCTGAGGAAATGGGGCGGCGGACGGGAAATGAGGTGGTTTCAAGGAAAGGGGGTGGCTGAGCTAAACAAATGAGGCACTCCCTATCGAGAGTCAGGAATAAGGGAGGTGGTAGAGGGATGGGAGTGTCATGAAGCTATGACGCATTAGCTATACTCTCATACTCACTCCCGGATGCCCATGCCCACATGACATGACCCACCCACACCCAGATGCACCCATTCCGCCATGCTCTAATGATGCCACACGCATTGCCACTTACCTTCTTATGAGGCCTTATGCCGTATGTCCATATATGCCCCTCCATCCCCCCTCACATTTGCATGCCAGCATGGTCGAACCATACTCTCCCTTCCCTCGCCTTCTGGTGCAGCCCCCTATACCATGCAACATGCCCCAGTGCACCCTCCATTGAACCCCCACATTCGCATGCCACATGCTTGTTCCATACTCTCCCCGCCCTCTCCTGCTTGTGCAGGTCCCCACCCCCCGCAATGGTGCCACACGCCTTGCCACTCACCTTCTTATAAGGTCTTATGCCATATGTCCATATACGCCCCTCTACACCACCCCACCCCCACATTCGCATGCCACATGCTTGTCCCATACTCTCCCCGCCCTCACCTGCTTATGGTTCCCACCGTGTCACCACAGCAACCGCCTGCCTGACAGCAGTGCAAAGATCACCGCGGAAGTGTAACCACTCAACGAGTTCCCCAGGCCTTACAATCACACCCTACACCCTAAAACCCGGAACCCAACACACCCTAAACCCTGAAAACCCCTCACCTGCTTGTGGTTGCCTCCATGCCACCGCCGCAGCCTCCGTCCCGACAGCAGAGCAAAGATGAACGACGAGGTGTATCCCCTCAGCGAGTTGCCCAGCCCAAACCGCATTTTCATGCCACACGCATTCCCATCACACCCTCACCTGCTTGTGGTTCCCCCCGTGCCACCGCAGCAGCCTCCGTCCCGACAGCAGAGCAAAGATGAACGACGAGGTGTACGCCCTCAGGGAGTTCCCCAGCCCAAACCGTGGCATCCAAATGAGCCAGCGCTCCTTCAGCATGAAATCCCGTTGGTCTTGAGGAACAGGAACGGGCTGCTTGTGATTTTGCTTCTCCTGCTGGCGCTGCACAGTGCTGAGAAGCTTCAGCTCTGAAACTCCAGCGTCCGAGCCCCAGACGGGGAGGTTGACATAGGCTGATTCAGGGAGGATACCTCCACATGAGGGGGTGTTCTGAACGAGCGGGGGAGGGGGAAGGGGATAGGGCGGAAGGAGGAATGCGCTTGTGATTCTCTTGCTGGAGTTGCAATTCGCCGCGAAAAGATTGAGCTCTGAAACACCAGCGTCAGTCAGAGATCCATATGGGGAGTGGCATGGGCTGATTCGGGGAGGATTAGGCATGAGCCCGGGCCAGGCAGGTACACCGGTCAGGTCAGGTCAGGTCGGGTCAGGTCAGGTCGGGTCAGGTCGGGTCGGGTCGGGTCGGGTCAGGTCGGCTTAGGTCGGGTCGGGTCAGGTCAGGTCGGGTCAGGTCGGGTCGGGTCGGGTCGGGTCGGGTCGGGTCGGGTCGGGTCGGGTCAGGTCGGCTTAGGTCGGGTCGGGTCAGGTACGCAGGCCTGACTCGCCCGGGGATAGAGTTCTGAGAATATTCGCCCGACTCGGGCAAAAAGCCGGGTTGATTCGGCCCGACCCGACCCGACCGGGTGTCCTGCTCATGCCTAGGGAGGATGCCTTTTCAAGAGGGTGTGCTCTGCAAAGGGTGTGGGAGAAGGAACGGAGAAGACAGAGTTACATGGACAATGCCCGTTGCGCTGGCGCCGTCCCGCAACACGGTCACTCCAGCTGACGCTCAGTCGACTTTCGAGACAATTCAGAACTTACCTTCACGCCGTACCTGGTGTCGTCGTACTCGGTGTCGTCGTACTCGGTGGCGCCACACCAGCTGAACCCCAGCCTCGCCACGGGCCACTGCCATTGGTAGCTGTCCTGGATCCGAGGTAGCAACACTTCACTTAGCTAAGCATTTCGCTTACCTTGATGTCGTACCGGGCATCGCCCCGCATGAACATGCCGTGCCAGCTGGCGCCCAGCCTCTCCACAGGCCACTGCCATTGGTAGTATCTTTGCGGGTCCGCTTTACTGCCCGCCTCCACACCAAGAATTTCCTCTTTATTGCCCGCCTCGTTTACCCACTGAAACGCCGATGAGGCTTTCTCCCACGGCCCGCCCACCCACCCATCCACCAGCCTCCTCCTCCTTCTACTCCTTGGCTTCTCAATCGCTGTTCTCTCTGACTTCTCCGGCACCCCTGCCATCCATCCGTCCACCAGCCTCCTTCCCCTTTTTCCTCTCCTGGTGCTCTGCTTTTCAATCGCTGTTCTCTCAGTATTTTCCGGCACTCCTGCCATCCATCCGCCCACCAGCCTTCGTCTCCCATGGGCCGTCCTCCCAATTCCCGGCTTGGTTACTCCACTCACTCCTCTCCGCACCCCCACCAATCCCCTCAAACCACCCCCATCCCCCTCTTTCCGCCTGCTACTCCTAATCCCCATGCTAATCCCCGTGCTAATCCCCGTGCTCTTTCTCGTCCTTTGACCCTCAACACCCCCCTGCCCTTCCCTTTGAACACTGCTTTCTCCTTTCCACGCATGGATCTCCCTAAAGACAGACTCGATAATGTCTCTCTCTTCCCCTTCCTGGCGTACCTCCCCTTCCTCCCCCTCCTCCCCCTCGTCGGTCAAATCGTTCCCGTCCCTTTCATCGTCATCACTCATCTCAAAATCCTCTCCCTCTTCTTCCCTCTCCATCGCTCTATCTCCAGTGCCCTCTTTCCATTCACCACCACTACTAGCACGAGGCTCACTGCTGCTTTCCATCTGAACCAACCCTGATCCTTCGGGTTTATCTCCGCCGTCCATCTCTCTACCAGTAGATCCCTCCTCTCTGCTATCTTGGTCCGTTTCTGATCGTCCATTCCCCACCCCACGCCTCTCCTCCAACTCTTTCTTCCCCTTCGCTATAGTCACATCGTTCCAGTCGCATCCCTCCCATTCCTCGCACGGAAGAACTAGTTCTAACCGCGGGTCGCAAGTTGCCGGCGGCAGTCGCTTCCCACCTGACGGCCGGTAGCTCTTCGCCAGAGAATTATTGCTCCGCTGGATAACCGCATCATATCTTTCGGTCGGCGGTATCCAACGGTCATTGCCCGTCCCTCGAGAGTATGTGAACAATGCTTGATGGCCGTCAGTTGACGGGTATTTCCCGTTAGAGAATTGCGGAGAGTGTGACGCGGTAGTGACTGGTACTAGCCGAACCAGCAGTAGAAATAGTAGTGTGATACTGCAAACGATTACAATAACGCCAGCTGAGGCTGCCATATTAGTGGACACAAGGAGAACAACTACTAGTAGTAGTGGTGCTAATTTCGCCGCAGAAGGATTTTTTCTCGGAAAAGGTGTCGGAAACCCCACAAACCGCTATGGGGGAATCGCTAGGTGGTTCACTTTCTTTCGCACACGAGACAGAAAAGTCACTCTAATGCAAACTGACGAAAAGCTGTTAGTTGCAAGCATCATGTTCACGTCAAGCTGTTGGTAGTTGCAAGCAAACATGTTCACGCGATTGACAAGAGCTATGGCGGCCAGGCTGGATTCAGAAATCCGCTTTGGAAAGTGGGTGAAGGTCTTTGTGGGGGCGGGGGGTATGGTTCTCTTCTCGCTTGGAGTGGCTCTTTTTGATTGGCTGGCCTACGTCACTCTCCGTTCTGATGTGTAGCTTCGATGTTTGACGAGATGCACGAATCCGGTTTGTATATGTTTCACCGTCACTTCACATGGTTGGATTGCCCGGCTTGGTTTGCTTGCGTCACAACCCAGTCTGCGTCACATTCGCGAAACATGTTGCCCCGTTAAATGTTTCCTTGCTGGTAGTCGTGACAGTTCGCTATCACTGTTCACCAGTATGGACTGGTTCACTCATCACCAACACTCTCCCATGAACTGCCTTCATGATGCGTCCCTCAATTCCGGACCTACGATCGACCGTGCAAAATCGAACCTCCTCCTGCGTTTTGCATTCCAAATCTCTCAAACCTCTTCCAACCACTCCAAAGATCGAGGGATGAGGGCCACGGTCACTGTTCTCAACAATGATCCCCGCGTTACAGCCGCTATGGATTCTCAAAAACGGTCGAGCCCGTGAACAGTGCTATACGTGGTGGAGTCAGATGCGCACTAAGGAAGGATATATTTCCCTTGCAAAGCTGCGGAAAAACCACGCGGAGCTCTCACAACTTCCATGTTTTAGGTCCCCACAATTCGTGAACCCAAATATGTCGCGTACTGAACATATGCCATCTCGTCTATCTTTGCTTTCTCGGACCTGTAAAGTGGTACGGTAGTCTTCTTCCCGCAGGTCAGGTCCAAGATTTCTGGGACCGAAAGCGCAGCGGTCGGCACTCCTGCCTGACCGTTCGCTAAGGGCGCGTGTGGTCTTTGAAATTTGTAAAAGTTTATGTTTTTAGGGCGAATTTAAGTTTTGAACTTACTACGAAAGAAGTTCGAATTTCCTTCTATCGAAGTTCGAACATCGGGCTTACCACACTGTAAAAAATCACACACACATACAAGGTCGAACCCCGACATTCGAACTTGTAAAAGCGAGCCGAGCCGCACGTCAACATCATAGGTTACCCGGTTCGCTCGTCTTGACAGTGCGTCACGTCAACATTTTGCGCCTCGGTTTACAAGGACCTAGAGCTCCAACTCACCTTCCGCGCCGAGTGTGTAACCAGGGTACAAATAGCCCCCATGGCAACACCTTGTATACTCGTCATTCGCCCAACATGACAACCCTACAGCTGGTCCGCTTTCTCGGCATCGTATGGCAAGGGTACTTGCAGATGGTGATGCTTCCCGTTCTCAACGTTGTTGGCACGGCACTCCCCACGCTCGTCTCGGCCTTCACTCTCAGGCAGACCCGGGTGTTCGTGCTTGGCGACCGCCTTGACGCACGTGTGCGTTGGTTTCGACTGATAACATCCTTGCCCGAGGACAATTTCTATGAGTATTTGCGGGTTGACAAACGCGTTTTCGTTTACTTAGTGCGCCAGTATCAGCGCAGCCGTTTCGCTACACTTAAGCATCCTGTGCATAACTTTGTATTCGTCGCCTTCCACTCCGAGACGCTACACTTAAGACATTTGGTGCGGGGGACGTGGATTGGGCAAGGGCGGGAGTTTCTTTGACTGACGTCAAGACGGGCGGGACGCGTTGCCACATCGTGCTCGAACGTGCCACGATGCTGGACACGTGGCTACCACTATGTGCACGAATTGTGGGGTGTCTTCGTTGTGCAACTTCATGCACTGGCGAAGCGCTTGCCCGTTTCGCCAGCTGTTCGGACGTGCTGCAAATCACACACGCTCGCATGAACGTGCGCACGCACGTTCCCGCCTCCGACTCGAGTCAAGTTCATATTTCAAATTCGAACTTTTGCAGAGCCCATACAATGCTTGGTTCGCGAAGCACCCTTCGCGAAATTAACGAATAGGGTAACCACCCAAAGTTCGAACTTCATTTTGAACTTCTAAACAGACCACACGCGCCCTAATTCGTTGCCAGCATTGCATCTCACATTTAGATCTCAACGGAAGCCACCATCCTCGTTTCGTTGAATTCACGTCAAATCACGTCTAAGTAGTCACCTGCGTTCCCGTTTATCACGCCGTAAGCCCCGCATTGCTTCTTCTACAACCTTAAATTCTAAATGGCGTAACCTAGATTATTTTTATACATCAACCATCAAGAGTACAATTATTTCAGGGCAAAGGGGAATCGAAGATTTCGAAGTCGGAAACGACAGCTTCTGGAGCCAACTCCCGTGTCTGTCTTATTGATCACCAGCTTTCAATCTCGACCGTCCGTTTAGCACCAGGGAATCATGGCGATATCGGAGTCCGTCGGCAGGAAGATCGCTCTGAGCTACTTATACGTGCTCGTGTGGATCGTTTTAAGCTTCTCCGTTATTGTGTTCAACAAGTACATTCTCGACAGGAAGCTGTACAACTGGCCTTACCCTATCAGGTGCGTCTCTATTGCGCGTGTGCTACCTTCGCGCCCCATCATCTCACCCTACCAACATATTACCCCGCAATTCCACCCTCCATTTCCACCCCCATTCAACTCCACCATCCCCGCCTTCCCCTTCAACCCCGTCTTTTCCGCCCATCATTCGCCCCATTAATCCGCCCATCAGCCGCCCCATTAATCCGCCCATCATCCGCCCATCATCCGCCCATCATCCGCCCATCAGCCGCCCCATTAATCCGCCCATCATCCGCCCATCATCCGCCCATCATCCGCCCATCATCCGCCCATCATCCGCCCATCATCCGCCAATCACTCGCCCCCTCCGTCCGCCTCGTTTCCTTCCCAATCTCCCTCACCTTTACCGCGGAAGCTTCACAAACGACCTGCTTCTTTCCAATCCAGATGCTTCAACCCCCCTTACCCACCTCCCCGTTCTCCGTGCAACTGTTTTGTTTCAATTTTCTTCCGTCTTCTTCCCCACTGCTCGTCCCGTTTCCCCTAGTCCCGCTCCCGCCTGCTTTTTCGACTGCCCTCTTCCTGTTCCCACTTTCCCCCTGCTGCTCTCGCTTCCCCCCTGCTATTCCCGCTTCCCCCTGCTCCTCCCGCGTCCCCCTGCTCCTCCCGCTTTCCCCCTGCTTTTCCCGCTTCCCCCCTGCTGCTCCCGCTCTCCCCCTGCTGCTCCCGCTTTCCCCCTGCTGCTCCCACTTCCCCCCTGCTATTCCCGCGTCCTCCTGCTCCTCCCTCTTCCCCCTGCTCCTCCCTCTTCCCCCTGCTCCTCCCTCTTCCCCCTGCTCCTCCCGCTCCCCAATGCTGCTCCTGCTCCCCCCTGGTGTTCCCACTTCCCCCTGCTGCTCTCGCTTCCCCACGCTGCCCTCCTTCCCTTCGCTTTCCACACCCCTCCCCCGCCACCAGTCACACCATGGTCCACATGGCGTCACATCCGAGCTGCCCATTCCCTTTCCCTTTTTCTACCCCTCTTCGCCCCTCCACACCTACCAGTCACACCATGGTCCACATGGCGTCACATCCGAGCTGCCCATTCCCTCTCTCACATCCCCTCACTTCTCCCCTCCCCCGCCACCAGTCTCACAATGGTCCACATGGCCTTCTGCTCGCTCCTCGCCTTCCTTCTCGTCAAGGTCTTCCGAGTGGTCGAACCCATCACCCTCACTACAAATATGTACCTCACCTCCCTGCTCCGCATGCCCTTTCTCCTCCGCTCCCCCCCCCCCCTCCACATACCAGTCTCACAATGGTCCACATACCAGTCTCACAATGGTCCACATACCAGTCTCACAATGGTCCACATACCAGTCTCACAATGGTCCACATACCAGTCTCGCAATGGTCCACATACCAGTCTCACAATGGTCCACATACCAGTCTCACAATGGTCCACATACCAGTCTCACAATGGTCCACATACCAGTCTCACAATGGTCCACATACCAGTCTCACAATGGTCGACATACCAGTCTCACAATGGTCCACATACCAGTCTCACAATGGTCCACATACCAGTCTCACAATGGTCCACATACCAGTCTCACAATGGTCCACATACCAGTCTCACAATGGTCCACATACCAGTCTCACAATGGTCCACATACCAGTCTCACAATGGTCCACATACCAGTCTCACAATGGTCCACATACCAGTCTCACAATGGTCCACATGGCATTCTGTTCTCTCCTCGCCTTCCTCCTCGTCAAGGTCTTCCGAGTGGTCGAACCCATCGCCCTCACTACAGGGATGTACCTCACATCAGTGCTGCCCATTCCTATTCCCCCCTTCTCCCCGTCATTTTTCTCCCCCACCCTCCCCTCCCCCCCACACCAGTCTCACCATGATCCACATGGCCTTTTGATCTCTCTTCACTCACATCCGTGCCGCCCACTCCCCTCCTCCCCGCCTCTCAGGGCGTTTTTGAGAATGTTTTTGAGAATTCTCAAAAACACCGTGCCGCCCACTCCCCTCCTCCCCGCCTCTCACCACCCACCAGTCTCACAATGGTCCACATGGCCTTCTGCTCGCTCCTCGCCTTCCTTCTCGTCAAGGTCTTCCGAGTGGTCGAACCAACCCATCACCCTCTCTACAGAGATAGATGTACCTCACATCAGTGCTGCCCCTCCCCTTTCCCCCTTTCTTTACCCCTCTTTCCCCCCCTGTCTCCCCCCACCAGTCTTACCATGATCCACATGGCCTTCTGCTCGCTCCTCGCCTTCCTATTGGTCAAAATCTTCAAAGTGGTCGAACCCATCGCCCTCTCTACAGAGATGTATCTCACATCAGTGCTGCCCATCGGCGCGCTCTACTCGCTCAGCCTCTGGTTCTCCAACTCGGCCTACATCTACCTTTCTGTCTCGTTTATTCAGGTGGGTAGTGGGTGTATGCTGGCCACACCGCACCACACCACACCTCACCACGCCACACCTCACCGCACCTCACCTCACTTCTGTGCTCCACATCGGCGCGCTCTACTCGCTCAGCCTCTGGTATTTCAACTCCGCCTACATCTACCTCTCCGTTTCCTTCATTCAGGTAAGTAACCGCTAGTGTTCTGCCCATACACGCCCCCCTCAGATGCTGAAGGCCCTCATGCCTCGTGCCGTCCTCCTAGGCGTGCTCTTCACCCAAGAGGCCTTCCAGCGAGTGTTTTTTGAGAATTCTCAAAATACACTCGCCGCTGCTCTTCACCCGAGAGGCCTTCCGAACCTCTGCCTTGGCCAGCATGGTCTCTCCCCTTTCCCCTTCCATCCACTCTCCCCTCTCAGATGCTCAAGGCCCTCATGCCTCGTGCCGTCCGTCTACCTCCTCGGAGTGCACTCTCTCAAGAGGCCTTCCAATATTCTCTGACCCTCGACTCGTGTCGTATGTTCTCTTCTCTCCCACTTCCCCCCCCCACCCCCTCGTCTCCCCCATATTCGTCCCTCTCAGATGCTCAAGGCCCTCATGCTAGTCGCTGTCTACCTTCTAGGGGTGCTCTTCACGCGAGAGGCCTTCCTATCTCCCAACCCCACAGCACTCTCTCTCAACCCCTCCAACCCCCCAACACTCCCTTCTCAGATGCTCAAGGCCCTCATGCTAGTCGCTGTCTACCTTCTAGGGGTGCTCTTCACGCGAGAGGCCTTCCTATCTCCCAACCGCACAGCACTCTCTCTCAACCCCTCCAACCCCCCAACACTCCCTTCTCAGATGCTCAAGGCCCTCATGCCAGCCGCTGTGTATCTCCTCGGAGTGCTCTTCACTCAAGAGGTCTTCCGTACTTCTGCATTTGCCAACATGGTAGCCATCACAGTGGGGGTGGCCGTGGCAGTGTATGGGGAGGCGAGTCACACAGGGTCTCCTCATGCACACAGGGTCTCCTCCTGCACAAAGGGTCTCCTCCTGCACAAAGGGTCTCCTCCTGCACACAGGGTCTCCTCCTGCACACAGGGTCTCCTCCTGCACTCGTGTGGTTCCTCCCTTCCTCCACCCTTCTTCACACAGATGCTCAAGGCCCTCATGCCAGTCTCTGTGTATCTTCTTGGAGTCCTCTTCACACGAGAGGTCTTCTGAACCTCTTCTCTACCCTTCCTCCCCACCCCCCCTTTCACGCCCCTCTCAGATGCTCAAGGCCCTCATGCCCAGTCGCAGTGTATCTCCTCGGAGTGCTCTTCACCCCAGAGGTCTTTAAAACCTCTGCCTTTGCCAACATTGGTAGCCATCACACAGTTGGGGTGGCCGTGGCAGCGTATGGGTAGGCGCATTTCCCTTCACTCATCTCCCCGTCACTCCGTCTTCTCCCCGCGACCCTGCATACACTCCCTCCTCTCAGATGCTCAAGGCCCTCATGCCAGTCGCAGTCTATCTCCTCGGAGTCCTCTTCACACGAGAGGTCTTCAGAACCTCTGCCTTTGCCAACATGGTAGCAATCACAGTGGGGGTGGCCGTGGCGGCGTATGGGGAGGCGAATTTTAACGTCACTGGTGTGCTGCTGCAGCTTGCAGCTGTGTGCTTTGAGGCCCTACGTCTTGTTCTTATACAGGTGAGAGTGGATAGAAGGACTTTAAAAGTCTGCCTTTAGTTGTTGGGCTGAGTATCAAGCATGGGGGTAGCTGTGGCGGCGTATGGGGATGCGAATTTCAACCTTACCGGGGTGCTGCTGCAGCTTGCAGCTGTGTGCTTTGAAGCCCTGCGCCTCGTTCTCATACAGGTGAGCGTCAGCTCTAGGTTCGCCCTTAGTTCTGAGGCCCGGCCCAACAAGGGATTTCCCAGCAGATTTGCAATTGCTGTAGGTGTGGCCGTGGCGTGGCGGCGCATGGGGAGGCGAATTTCAACGCCTGAGGGGTCCTTGTCCAGGTGAGATGGGTTTTCAGCGGGGTATCGATCAGTGATCGCGGATTTCAGTAGGGGTGGCTGTGCCAGCGTATGGGGAGGCGGATTTCAACGCCATTGGATGGAGTGCTGATGCAGCTTGCAGCTGTGTGCTTTGAAACCATGCGCCTTGTTCTCATTCTCATAGAGATGAGATGGGCGGGGTATTGATCAGTGATCGCCGATTACAGTAGGGGTGGCCGTGGCGGCGTATGGGGGGCACAGGGGTGCTGCTGCAGCTGGGGGCAGTGTGCTTTGAAGCCCTGCGCCTTGTTCTCAACTTCTCATACAGATGAGTGTGGGTTGTAGACTTGAAGCTCTTGTCGCTACTGTTGAGTAGACCCAACAAGGGTTCCACACATGGTAGCCGTCACAGTGACGTTCGAGTCGACTCTTGGATTTTGAGTCGACTCAAAAGTCATCTAGTGTTGAGTGGGCCCAACAAGGGTTCAACAAATGGTAGCAATCACAGTGGGGGTGGCCATGGCGGCGTATGGGAAGGCGAATTTCAACGCCACAGGGGTGCTTCTGCAGCTGGGGGCGGGTTGTTTGTTTCGAGGCTCTATTTCACACCTGTGTGTGCGCTGGAACCCCACTTAGGCAACCTCCAAGCAATTAAACTCCAAGCAACCTCCAAGCAATTAAACTCCAAGCAACCTCCAAGCAATTAAACTTCTCCGTGTAGAAAAGGCTCTATTTCATTCACACCTGTGTGCGCGCTGCCGTTTCACGCCTGTCTCCTGATGCTGCAGGGTATTTCTGAGGATTCTAAAAAAAAAAATACACCTTTGCGCTGCTGTTTTTTCCACCGCTGCATCTCTTTTATTTCTCGTACCTGTTACTCACTTGATTCTCCTACCCTCACTTGATTTCCGTTTCCCTTGCTTGAGTTCCCCTCCCCTGTCTTTCACTCTCCCCATCACAGATTTCCTTAACAGCCAAGGGCGTGTCCCTCAACCCCATCACACCGCTCTTCACCCTTCTCAGATCCTATCCCTCCACCTTTCGCCCCCATCCCATGAGCCCCTGCCTCCCCAACCTCCCTTTTCTCCCCTTCACCTTTCTCTTCTAACCTCCCAGCTTGTATTTTGACAGCCAAGGGCGTGTCCCTCAACCCCATCACACCGCTCTTCTACATCTCCCCCGTCTGCCTCCTCTTCCCCTCCCTCCCCCGGCTACTCGTCGAGTACCCTCGCCTCGCTCCCATCTCCCACCTCTACTTTCCGTGCCTCTCTCCCTTTTGCACCTACTTCTCACCCCTTCCCACACCTTTTTTCTCCCTCTTATTCCTGTCCCCACTTCGTCCCTTGCCTGCAGATTCTCCTCACTCACAGCCAAGGGCGTGTCTCTCAACCCCATCACATCCCTCTTCTACATCTCTTCTACCCTTCTTCGATCCTCCTCACCCCACTTGCACCCCTCTATACCTTTCTCTCTCCCCACACCACACCGCAGATCCTCCTCACAGCAAAGGGCGTCTCTCTCAACCCCATCACATCCCTCTTCTACATCTCCCCCGTCTGCCTCCTCTTCCTCTCCCTGCTCTGGCTGACCGTTGAGTAACCCCGCATCGCTCCCATTCCTGTGTCTCCACACCTTCGCTTCCCCACAGATCCTCCTAACAGCAAAGGGCGTCTCCCTCAACCCCATCACATCACTCTACTACATCTCGCCCGTCTGCCTCCTCTTCCTCTCCCTCCCCTGGATTCTCGTCGAGTACCCCCGCCTCGCTCCCTCGCTCACCATCCCCGCTCAACCTGCGCTTATCCTTTTCCTCGCCAACTGCGCGTGTGCCTTCTCGCTCAACCTCGCTGTGTTTCTGCTCATTGGGAAGACGTCAGCTCTCACCATGAACGTGGCAGGTACGTAGTGGGGGGTATGTGGAAGGTACATGGAAAGTACGTGGAAGGTACGTATTGGTCCCTCTCTTGCCATCCCCTCCCAACCTGCATTCGTCCTGTTCCTCGCCAACTGCGCGTGTGCCTTCTCGCTCAACCTCGCCGTCTTCTTTCTCATTGGGAAAACGTCAGCTCTTACAATGAACGTAGCAGGTATGCATTATGTGCAAGCCTGCAAGGCACATGTAAGGTACGGATCGCTCTCCCTCGCTCACCATCCCCGCTCAACCTGCTCTCGTACATTTCCTTGCCAACTGCGCCTGTGCTTACTCGCTCAACCTCCCTGTGTTTCAGCTCTCACCATGAACGTTGCAGGTACGTAGTGGCAAGCAGGGACGTAGTGGCAAGCAGGGACGTAGTGGCAAGCAGGGACGTAGTGGCAGGCAGGGACGTAGTGGCAGGCAGGGACGTAGTGGCAGGCAGGGACGTAGTGGCAGGCAGGGACGTAGTGGCAGGCAGGGACGTAGTGGCAGGCAGGGACGTAGTGGCAGGCAGGGACGTAGTGGCAGGCAGGGACGTAAGGGGGGTATGTGGAAGTAACTCGAAGGTAGATTAGAAGGTACGTACGTGGAAGGTATATGGCAGATGTTTAGCTTCCTCTCTCGCCCTCCCTTCTAAGCTTGCAATCGTGCTTCTCGTGCCCAACTCCACTGCACATGGAATGGAAGGTACATTGCTGGTACGTGGAAGGTGAATTGGAAGGTATATGGCAGGTAGTAGGTACAATAAGCCTGCCATCGTGCTTCTCGTACCCAACTCCACTGCTGGTAACCCGTTTCTCAGAATCATCCCTTCTGCTCTTCCCTCCCATGCCACATAGCTTCTCGTGCTTTGCTGACGTGGCTGAGTTGCTTTTACAATAGGACCCGCTGTTAATAGTATTCTCAATATTTGATCCGCGACGATCCACGACGACCCATGACGATCCACGCCGATCCACGACGCCTCATTCATGACAATCCATGACGATCCATGACAATCCATGACGATCCATGACAATCCATGACAATCCATGACGATCCATGACAATCCATGACGATCCATGACGCCACATTCATGGTGTCACAGCAATAAGCCTTTTTCCAAAATCCTTAACTCTATTTCATCCCTTTTTGTGTGTCTCGGGAGTGGTTAAGCACTGCTTTGCTGATTGCATTCCCATGGTCGGTTATCCCCGATCGAGCGATGGAAATTTAGCTGCGTCCCAATGTCTTACCTTTATTCATCCCCTTCATTGCGTGCCTCAGGAGTGGTTAAGGACTGGTTGCTGATTGCGTTCTCATGGTCGGTTATCCGCGACAGAGTCACAGCAATCAATCTGATTGGCTATCTTCTGGCCTTTGTGGGGGTTTGCTGGTACAACAGCATGAAGCTACAGGTACAGTATATTCAACCCACAGGTGTTAAGATATAGAAAGGATCCAGTTGCTGTAATTGAAGCTATAGATCCAGTTAAAAGAAGGCACCAGTACTAATATACAACAAGGATGCTTGTCTCACACATGAAGGCACAGGTACAGTTCATAAGACTGCAGGAAGTAGCCCCCCCCCACAGTTACTATGTTACGAATAAGTTGTGATTACAGGTTCTGATGTGGTGTCTTGTTGATGGTACCAGATGGTCCACTCCACTCTACAATATACCATGAATCCCCAGTACCCATCACTTTCTGCTCTTCCGTTCCTTCCTGGGCTGCTGCTGCTTTGTATTGTACATTGGAATTTGCACTCCTTGCTGCGTTCTGAAGTTTTTTCCCTTGATGATGCCTGCCCTTTGTTTCAACCGCTTCTCTTTCTCCCTGATTTCCTCTTTCCCTACCCCAGGAACTGAAAGCAAAGGAGACTTCCAGGAAGCTGCAGCAAGAGCAGGAGCAAAACCAGCAGGGGGGAGCGGGGGACGAGGAGTCGGGGCATTTATTGGGTGGTGCTGAGTTGACTCAAAGGGAGCTGACTCAAAACGAGCTGACAGAAAGGTCGTTGGAATCAGGGGACTCAACAGGAAAACCAGCAGGGTGAAGTGGGTGACAAGGAGTTGGGGCATTAATTGGGGCTCGAAGGGAGTTGACTCGAAGGGAGTTGACTTGAAGGGAGTTGACTTGAAGGGAGTTGACTCAAAGGGAGTTGACTCAACGGGAGTTGACTCAAAGGGAGTTGACTCAACGGGAGTTGACTCAAAGGGAGTTGACTCAACGGGAGTTGACTCAAAGGGAGTTGACTCAACGGGAGTTGACTCAAAGGGAGTTGACTCAACGGGAGTTGACTCAAAGGGAGTTGACTCAAAAGGATCTGGCGGAAAGTTCGTCGGAGTCAGGGAACTCATTGGCTGGACCAGGGCCTGTGCTAGGATTTAGGGCATCCTGAGCCCTCAGGGTAACTTTTGAAAAATCTCTGAAATGCCCTGGTTTTTCAGGGCAAAATTCCCTGGCCATCCTGAAATTTCAGGGCACCAGCAGAAATTCATCTGGATGAGTCAGGGCAAAAAATACAAGGCACTAAAGAGGATGGAGGGGAAGGCACGAAAGGAGCAGGTTGTTCACTGGTTTCACTTCTACTAGCTGAGGAAAAACATTGGTGGGGGAGGGGTGGGGTCAAAACTAGCACACACAACCCCAGCCTCCTTCCTCCCCTCTCCCCCGCTCCCCCCTCCACCCTTTCTCCCCTTCCCACGAGTCAGGGCATCCCTCTACATTCACCCTAAAGCTTCAGGGCAAAATTTCACTGCCATTCTGAAATTTCAGGGCAAAACTGTCAGAACTTGAGCTAGGCTAAGGAGCCATAGCTAGTTAGAACTAGAGTTTGAGTATCGAGCAGGTTGAGTTGAAGTGAAAAATATCGAGAGGAAAGAGCGGTTTCACTATAGGTTCAAGGGTACAAATAGGCAAGAATGAAGAAAGGCAAATGGTACACCTCCTAGCAGGAAACTAAGATAACTACACTTGGCTACTGTAGGCATTTATATGAAAGTATACAAATACATTTCAACAAAAACACATGGATCATCCTGACGTCACAGGGTGAATTTCAACGTCATTCTGAAATTACAGGGCAAACTTAAAACACCATCCTGAAATCAGGGTAATCAGGATGTTTTGCCCTGATATCGTGGGCCCTGGGCTGGACCCCCTAAACCAGCAGCATGAGTAGGTACCATTGGAATGTCACATGGTTGTTTGAACGAACAAATACGACTACAAATCATTCTGGTTGTTTTCAACTGTATAGGGAATATATAAATAATATAGGGTTGCATATGATTAGCTTGTCTAGACATTGTCCCCTCAAAGCTGCATTCGTGTTTCATAAGTTTCACTTATGTGTATATGTGATGTACTCGGCCCTTTTCAGCCTGCTGTTACAGCAGCAGTAACATCTCTTTAACGAGTACAGCCACACAGTTCCCCAGTGCAAATCCCAGGGTGATCCACGGTGCTGTGAGAGCCGTTTGAGACTGAGCTGTGAGCTGTTACTTCGTCCCGCAAGGTACAGACGGAATTCCCTCTCCTCCACGCAACGCATCACTGGTCGAAGTCGCGGGACTCTGCTAATAGGCGATAGCTGTCATAACGTTGCGATGCGATGCGATCCGGATAGGTACCCGTCCTCGCCTACTGTGTCGGACGCGCGATTCGGCTCGGGCCGGATTTACTTTCTGTATCCGTTTGTTCGAATCTCGTTTCTCGAAGACTGCTGAACCTTATCCACAGCGGCGCCGCGATCCTGACTGTTGAGTCGACACAGAAGCCATCCTGAGCGTCACCGCAACCCTGAATTTCCAAGGCGCCGAGAGGTCGTTGCTTGCACTGCACATCGCATGGCCTTGTAACACGTTTACTCCTGATCGGCTGATTACTGTCTGCGATTGGAAGAATTGGAAGAGTTGACACGGCGAGGCCATTCTTGAGAAATTTCAAAATTACACTGCATCATTGGCACGGCGAGGTCAATATTCTATCCTGACTAAGATTCTGGATAACGTCGAAAGGGTAGACAGTCGAATCGCGTTTTCACATCGTTGAATCACTGATCGTCGATACGTCCAACCACCAGATCTGATTATTGTCTTCTTCGCACTGTCTGTTTCCGTTTCCAATGTCTCCTCTCTTTCCTCACGAACCTCAACCACACTCACCCTCTCTCCCCCCTCCCCTCCTCCCCGTTCTCCTTTCCCCCCTCTCTTCCCCCTCTCCAATACGCGCCTAATCCGTTCCCTCGTCCCCCCTTCTCACAGAATTTGGCAGTAACCCCGTTGTTAACCTCTCGCGCTCTTCAACGCTAAGGACAGGATGCACGCCATAGGGAAATTCTTCAAAACTATATACGAGCTTTTTGACGATGATGACGAAGACGAGGATGACAATAACGAGGGCGAGGGTGTAGACGGGGAAGGAGGAGGCTTCTGGGATAGATCAGGAAACGGTCGCGGGTTCTGGGGGATGGGAGGAAAAGGGAGGGAGGAGGAGAGGGGAAGGAATGGAGAGAGGGAAAGGAAGAGAGGGGCGGGCGGAGGAAGGAAGGAAGAGGCGACGGGTATGGAGGGCAGGGCAAGGCGAAGGGGTGGTGGAGGGAGTAAGCAAACGGCAGGGAGGGAGCGGCGTGGGGATGGGGATGGGCATTCGGCTGACCCAAGGGAAGAGCTTCAAACTGACAGCAACGGGCTGACGTGGCGACCTCTGATTCGGCTGGCTGAGCGCGGAGACGGAGGCGTGCAGGTGGGAGAAAGGGATGCGTGTAGAGATGCAAGAAGCCGTGGGTCAATACAGCATTGTTGCTGAGCAATGGCTGTTACATCATTGTTACTGCGTTGTCCAAACCGGTGATTGTGATGGTCCTTCGTGTCAAACCTTTGGAACGATTGTGAAAACCCTTCGTGACGACGACCCACGCAGGGATCCCATTTCGGCCATGATTCGTTGGCGCAGCATTGTTGTTTTGACTGTGGCCTGACTGTGTCTCGCATGTGTGTGCTGAGATTTTTTTTACGTTCTGTTTCCCTGGCCAGCTCGCTTCCTCTCCCCTCTCATCCCCTCTATCAATCTTCCCTGCATGGCCTATGGTGCATACCTTTTCTCTGGGACGACCACTTGTGTCGGCGCTGTTTTCTTTGGCTGGCACAGCGCTGTTGTCTGGCCTGGCTTTGTCTCGCATGTGTGTGCTCAGTGAAACGCAATCTTATCGTCTCTTCCCCCATGGGCAATATTGTTTCATCGTCACCAAGACGCGTCACCTCCCTGGATCACTTCCTTCTTCGCCTCTCTCGTTCCCACCATGATTCTTTTCTGCATGGCCTATGGTGCACCCCTGTTCTTCACCAAGACCTCACTCATTTCTCTCGCCTCCCACCACACCTCTCATTCCCTCACCAGGGCCTGACATGCTACATCGCTTCCCTTCACCAAGGCGTGTCCCGCTCCACTTCCTGTTCTGTTCCCCACCTCTCTCTTCTCACCAGGATCTGACATGCTACATCGCTTCCCTTCACCAAGGCGTGTCCCGCTCCACTTCCTGTTCTCTTCCCCACCTCTCTCTTCTCACCAGGATCTGACATGCTACATCGCTTCCCTTCACCAAGACTTGCCCATTGTCCCTCTTTCCCCGTGCTGACCGGTTGTTCTCTTCCCATTCTCTCGTCCCCCCACCAGAGCCTGACCTGGTACATCGCTTCTCTTCACCAAGATGCAGACGGTGACGTGGCAAACGATTTTTTCGTGGAGGTGCTCCCAGCAGGAATTCACGCCAATGGGGATTATGCCGGTAGGAAGCAGCACGTTGCTGATCTATGTGGAACCACATGTCTTCCTGATTCTGCTGCCTCTGCCCCTCCTATGCCTAGAGATGCTGCTGGTGCTGATGCCGCAGCTGCTGCTGCTGCTGGTGGTGTTGGCGGCAGTGATGGGAGCAGCAGTGCTGGTAGTGGCAATGGTGGTGGTGGCAGTGGGGGTGCTGGCATTACAGGTGGCAATCATACGGATTGCAATATTGTTCAAGGCATTTCTCACAATACCTGTGAAGATCAAGGAGCCTATGGGCCAATGAGACCTGTGGGCCTTGCAGAGTGCTTGCAAGGTGATCGCTGCAGCAGAGTAAGTGAATTGCGCCCGATTTCAGCTCCTGTTGGAGCCAGATTTCTGCTTATGCGGGTTCCGACCACTCTGCTTTTCCCTTTACAAAACCGAGGGATGCTTTCTGTGAAAGAAGGAAATGTGATGGTTGGAAGTGCGATTATGTGAAGCGAATGATTTGTTGTAATTAAGAATATATAAAATCACGGATCACTGTTGGTGGGAGTCTCAAGTACTTTTTGGTAAACTGGTGGGCGGACTACATTTATCCCACGTTTCTATTTTCCGGGCTTTGATAATTACCGGGGGTATTTATCCTTTCGGGACTCCATCTTCATTCCACCCCCCTTCAGTCGATCTCGACCCTAGCTTGCTGTCAGGAGCTTCCCGTTCTGAGTCCCCCGCATAGGGTGGTGATTGTGTCGATCGAATCCCCTTATCTGTACTGATACTTTTACCTGTTCCTAGTGCTGCCTTTTGACACCTGGTTGGTTCATCCAAGGACCGCTTATTACTTTCCGCACCCGCCTGATCCAGAAGTTTCGTATGTGTCACATGACCGTGCGTTCATTTGGAACCCGCTGAAACACAAGTTCTGCGATTTCCTTCACAACTTCTTACGCGCGTTTTAGCAGATTCCACTTGCACTCTTGAAAATCGATACCGCGTTATGAGCGCTCGTTGATTCCCTTATTTTTGCGATCGCCTTCCATTTTGCTGTAGCGTCACTCTCCCCCGTCACCGCTTTATCGCGAATCTGCTGCTGTAGGATTTCAATCGACCTGATTATTGGATCGATTAAAAAGTGTACCATCATGCAAGGAGCGGGAGCGGGAATCCCTAAGCGGGAATCCGGAAGAGGGCTGACGGACCGCAAGATATGCCTCGCGGTGACCCTAGGTGTGGTGCTGGCGGTGTTGGTGTTTACCGTTCAACGGTCACTAGAGGAGCAATCCG